ACTTGTTTTTCTACGGATTTTGAAAAAGGGATATTAAAATATCACAATTCCAACATGTATAAAAAACATATCGACGAAGGGCTTACGATGATGACCCGGACACAGACTCTGCTGACTAAAAAAATACGTTGTAGAAAACTGTTTTGCTTTGATATATTTTTATTTTATTGATATTATGGAAAGTCTATTTAGTTTAGTTCTTCCATTTGCTTTAAATATAAATAAATAATAATTAGATGAATAAACCTGTATTTTTTTATTAATTTATTGGTCAGTAAAATTATAAATTTTGAACACATTAAAAAATGTTCAGAAAGCTAAACTTTTTCCATCAATTTATAGATGGCACTAGGAACGATTCAGAGATTTTTGACTTAGATGTCAGATTGCTACTGATTTCTACTGTTTTTTCAGAACGACATATACTGAAAAAGAAAAAATCCATCTGCGAACACTGTTGACAGAGTAATTCGTTGAGTGCGTGATTAATTCGACTGCTGAACGCCGATGAAGTTTGATACACAGTCGGCCATTATTTATTACGAGTGAAATAACTTTCCCGCTGCAAAGGTAAGTTTTAGATAATTTTTAATTTCTTTGATTTTACGTTTTTGTTTGACTATTAGTGTAACTGCTTACCTAATTAAATCAGACATATACAGTGTGTCCCGCTTTTTATGAGTACACCCTAATATCTCATATTAATAATGAGATTTTCTTCAAATTTTGGTGGTGATTGTATGTTGGAAAAATGAAGTATTTGGCATAGTGAACATTTTTATTTACCATTGGCGTTCGGTGTTGGGGGGTAAAAAGTCTTTATTTTTTAGGAAAAAGATATTAGGGCTTATTTTAGATAATTTTTTTATCATATTTTCAAAATCTTAAGAGCTGATTTTAGCAGAAAAACAAATTAATTTATTTTAAGTCCCTTTTTCTAAAAGGTTGATTATTTTTAACATTTTAGTTTAAATGCCTAATCCTATTGGGTTTCAAACAACTCCATAACGTTTTTGTTAAATTCAGTATCCTTATGCTCTTAATACTATCATTTAGATTTTTTTAAATTTTGCTAAGATACACGCATTACCGTTCGCATGCTGACCTGTGTTGTTTTCGAGCAAGTTATACAAAAGAGAGCTTTGAAACAAATGTATTTGTTTGACATTTAGTAATTCGTAAGAAATTAAAATGTCAAACAGTGTTACCTAACTGTTAATAAGATGGTATAAAACCAAAAAGTAGTTCTTACAATTGGAGAAAAAGTATAAATTACCCGTTTATTTGGTAATAATGAAAGATTTACGCGTCAGGTTGCTGGAATATTCAATGAAAGGCATTATGATCGAGCACCAATTTCTTACAATACCATTGCTGAAATCAACAGATTGTTCGCAACGACTGGAGAGGTTTTCAAGACAAGAACAAGGAGGTAAAATTTAAATCAAATGTACTATCCAGACGACAAACGTATCTCAGCAGAATTTCATAACAACCCAAATGGTGGTATAAGAGCAGTTGCGAGGATACTGAATTTTAAGTAAAACAAAGTATGGAGATGTTTGAAATGCAATAGAATTAGGACTTTTAAACCAAAATTTCTACATACTCTGTTAAATGGTGATTTTGGACGGCGCACACTGGGGCAACAAGCCCTCAAACTTGGCAATAAATAAAAAAATTAAATAGCATATACACTCTACCTCATATTTTTTTTTATATATATTACTGTCCACTACATAATAAAACGAACAAGTGCGATCTTGTCTCACGCGTTTCATCGCCACCTTCAGTCAAAGTTACTTATCTGAGGCGAATATATATTCATTGTTATTTTTGTAGTTTTTAACTTGTTTTTGTACTATGATTAGACTGTATTTTGATTTTTTTTTTCAAATTTCCGCCATGGAGCCTTTAAGTTCAGCTATGTATTATTATTTTAACAAGTAAAAAGTTGTAGAAAAATAAACGTAATCTTATAATATTGGGGTAGTAGATAGACAACCTATGTACGGGGCCACATAGGGAATTCAATGTGTAAGAGTGAGAGGTACATATTCAATGGATAAGAGTGAGACAGACGGTCTGAAGGAAAAACGGGGTAGTGGGGGGAGTGGGGGATTAAATTTCGTTTACCGTCGAATAGAAAAATCATGCGTAGTGGTAAAGCCAGAAGGGCCTTAGCGTATATCTCAGCTATCGTTGGTCCGATTTAAACGGGAAAAAGGGGGTTATATAGAGAGAGGGATATAGATTAAAGTTGAAAAGAAAAAATCATGCGCAGTGGCAGGGCAAAAGGACCTTAGCGTGTATCTTCACTGCTATTGGTCCGATTTAAATGGGGAAAACGGCATTACGTAGAGAGAGGAATATAGATTAAAGTTTAAAAGAAAAAATCATGCGCAGTGGCAGGACAAAAGGACCTTAGCGTGTATCTTCACTGCTATTGGTCCGATTTAAATGGGGAAAACGGCATTACGTAGAGATCGTGGTATAGATTAACGTACAAGAGAATTTTTGCGAAAAGCCAGAAGGGCCTTAGCGTGTATCACGTGGTCTGATTTAAATGGGGAAATGGGGGTATGTAGAGAAGCATTAACGTACAAGAGAATTTTTGCGTAAAGCCAGAAGGGCCTTAGCGTATATCACGTGGTTCGATTTAAATCTTTGGGAGCACCCTAGTCCAACAACCAGTCCAACCACCTGAAATATCATAGAGATCATATACAAAATGAATATTGATTTGCAATAATATAGGACATTCTGTATCATACATTTATAAAATATAATATAATTTTAAACAATACATATATCGCCGATAACAGGCCACAATTGTTGAAACTTTAAAATTTATAGGAAAATTATCAAACACCGAGACCAAATATACCGGAAAAGCATTTCCGTGAAAAAATGATAAATTATTATCTCAAACCAAACTTGTAAAGTTAGAATTTTTGATAGCAAAATTCTCAGACCGCTAAAACCGTATTAACAAGAAAAATATATCTCTTGTTGGTGAACTTGGAAATTTCTAGAATTATCGTCTGATACTACGAAATTATAAAAAGCCCCAGAATTAGCCATTGTTTGTCAGTATTGAGCAAGACGCTATACAGTGAATACTTATAGTTTTGTGTATTAAGGTAGGAAATATATATTGATTTTTTCACTCTCTTTATCCCAAAAATACTCTTTTGTTTTTTAAATTCGAAATTGTGAGAGACTATTGCTGTTTTTTTTTTTGATATTAGATCAGTTATTTTTGAGAAAACGAGCTACATTTTTAATTTATTTATTGATTTTTATGAAAATACATTTGTGAACTTTTGTGAAATAGAAACTAAAAGATTGTTCTTTAATTAGATAAAGCCGACAATCAACTGTCAATCATCCGCCAATCAACTACAACTATAGATTCAATCAAGTGGCAATCATCCGTCAATCAACTACAAGTATAGATCCAATCAACTGTCAATCATCCGTCAATCAACTACAACTATAGATCCAATCATCCGTCAATCAACTACAAGTATAGATCCAATCAACTGTCAATCATCCGTCAATCAACTACAACTATATAGATTAGCTGCCAATCTTCCACATCATCCTTTTAAAAGTAAGTAAGTAACTTATAGTGCTTTTTTTTTTAAGTAACGCTTTATACATAGATTTTTTTATAGATAATTTTTCACGCATTAGTTAGTCAATTATTTGATTTTAGTTTTATAGTGCTTTTTTTTTTAAGTAACGCTTTATACATAGATTTTTTTTATAGATAATTTTTCACGCATTAGTCAATTATTTGATTTTAGTTTTTAAAAATTATAGATTTTTTTATTTTTCTGTTAATAACTTTTAAAATTATTATAGATGAACTTAAGTGAACTCAACAAATGTTCCTTAATTGGAGAGAAAGCAAATAAGCCAGTTGTGAAGCTGAGTACTCTACCTTTGGGCATTCCGCACACCATCTTAGCAGCCAAAATTACCAAAGGAAAATTTGGGGAATCAGTGCTAGTAGAATTGGACCACGCAGTGACCTTTTTGCCAAATAGAGTAACGGAACTATACCGGCCAAGCATCAAACATTTCACGGCATCAAGATACGCGATTGTCTATAGGGGTGCAGTAGACACTGGCAAACCACAACCAGCGGCATCTTTCGAAATTATCGAAAATTAAGGAGCAAGAAAAGGGTAAGCGATTTTTTTTAAATATTTTTTGTTTGCCAGTGTTAAAATGAATCCTTTTAATGTTATTAAACAATCTAGTAATATACTAGCGGCTATAAAAAAACTTAGGAAAATTTTATTCGACAATTTTACAATTAAAGATGCGGAGATTTGGTTAAAACGATTACAAAGGCAGATTAAATCGTGTAATAAAGCAATTCATAGTAGACGGCAATATAATTTATCTATTGGTGCTCTACGTAAATTGGAAACTAATGTGGGACATTTTAAACATTTTAGAAAATTAATTTTGAATAGACATATTGGTATGGGCATACAATCAAAATTGGGGCAACGCGTAAAATGGGCTAATGTAGAATCTAGTTTTAAAAGTAGAGCTACAACTGGAATTATAATTAATTTACGTCATAAGGACTTAGATACATTTTTGGATGATTGTGTAGTTATTTTTAAAAATAAAATTAATAAATTTTTAAAAGCAAATCAAGCACTTAAAGTTAATACTACATTTTGTGGCGAATTCATCAAAAAATCTAACGATAATGAGATTTTAGATTTAAAATATTTCAATACTAAAAATGCTGTTATTGATAAATCGACTGAAATAACAGAGTGGTTTAGAGATAATGTGCAAGATAAAATTTTAAATAAATTGTCGGAATTTTCGGAGAAAGATAGTGGGTGGGCATTAAGTAAAATCGTATCATTAGCAGTAAACGTAAATAAATATGAAATGGGAAACGGGTAGTCTTTCATTAAATTACCTGAGGAAATTTTAAAAAAACAAGCATGTATTAATATTAAAAATACCGATCAGGCCTGCTTTTATTGGTCCATTATTAGTGCTCTTTATTCTGCTAGTAAACATACATATCGAACCTCCTCGTATCCATATTACAAGCAATTTCTACAAACAGAGGATTTAGATTGTCCAATGGAATTAAGTCAAATTCCAAAATTTGAAAAAATAAACCAAATTTCAGTTAACGTTTACGCATTAGAATTAAACGAGACAGAGAAAAAAACATTTTACACAGTAGTACCGGCTAGACTAACAAAAAATAAATTAGAGAAGCATGTCAATTTACTTTTAATTCAAAATAAATATTATCCAAAATTAAATGATTACGATGCTCCACCGGTTGATGATGTAGACGAAGAGATTAAATATCATTATTGCTGGATCAAAGATTTGTCACGATTAGTTTCAAGACAACTCAGTAAAGATTGCAAAAAAAAATTAATTTGTGATAGATGTTTAAATTATTTTAGTAGTCGAGATAAATTAGCTGAACATGAAAAACTTTGCTCTAAATTAAATAAGTATAAAATGAGTGTTCCTCAATTTGATTTTGTTGAATTTCGAAACTTTACATATCAGCAAACTACCCCGTTTGTCGTTTATGCTGATTTTGAGTGTCAATTAGAAAATTTCAATCAGCCTAGTATAACTAAAACTTTAAAATATCAAAAACATGTTGCGTATAGTGCAGGCTACTATGTAAAATGTTCATATGATGACAGCCTTTCTTATTTCGATAGTTATCGCGGTGAGGATTGCATGGATTGGTTTGCAGATCGAATGGAAGATGTAGCAAAATTTGTAAATTCTAAAATAAAAACAATTGTGCCTATGATTGAAAAACCAGATACATGTAAGGCAAAAACTTGTCATATATGTAATAAACAGTTTTCCTCCAAGGACATAATTGTAACGGACCATGACCACTTTAACGGATCCTTTAGGGGATTTTCGCACCAAGCATGCAATCTGAATTTCCGAAAATTGTTTGTTGTGCCAGTGGTCTTTCACAACCTAAGTGGGTACGATAGTCATTTTATGATTACGAATTTATGTAAAAAGGGATGTTTGAGCTTACTTCCAATCAATAAGGATAAATATATTTCATTTACTCTTCATTCAGATGAAACTAACATTAAATTATCGATTATCGATTCATTGCGATTCATGGGGACATCTCTTGATGAACTAGCTTCAATTTTAGATAACTCAGAGAAGAAAATTTTAAAACGCGAATTTCCAAATTTAACTAATAATCAATTTGAATTGTTAACACGCAAAGGAGTTTTTTGTTACGATTATATAGATTCTTTAGAAAAATTAAACGAGACTTCATTACCATCAATTCAACACTTTTACAATAAATTAAACGATGAACATATTAGTGCTGAGAAATACGCTCATGCACAGCAAATTTGGCAAAAATTTAACATTCAGGATTTGGGACAATACTCAGACCTGTATTTAAAAACTGATATTCTGCTTCTTGCGGATGTTTTCGAACAATTTCGCAAAAACTGTTTTAAGACGTACGGTCTAGATCCTGCATGGTATTACACTATGCCTGGCTATACTTGGGACTGTATGCTCAAGTATACTAGATGCAAGTTAGAAATTCTCAAGGATCTAGACATGGTTATGTTTTACGAAAGCGCCATAAGAGGTGGAATATCGGTGTGTAGTAGCCGATATTCAGAGGCTAATAACAAATATATGGCTGAGTATGATTCCACGAAACCTTCAAAATTTCTAATGTACCTAGACGTGAATAATTTATACGGGAAAGCTATGTGTGAATTACTACCCTACGGAGGATTCAGCTGGGTCGATAACATCGAAAATTTTGATGTGATGTCAATACCGGATGACTCTAACGTAGGGTACGTTTTGCAAGTTGATTTATGGTGATATTTTTTTTAATTGTCCAAAACGAAAAAAATCATGTCTTTGGTTATTAACTAAAATATTTCTTATAATATTCGGCGCTTTTCTTGTGGTTTATGTTAAACACATTATCTTTTCCGTAACAAACCCCATTTACGTCAAAATTTAGGTTTTTGAAATACATTTTTAGTAGATAGTTAAGCTGAATGTCCGCGTCCGCACCTGTCGCGCAGAGCATATTTGGTATTTTAAAGGCAAACCTAAATTTTAATTAGGCTTAAAACCACACCGTTATTAGCAAGTATTGTTTTATGTGCTATTATCCAATAAATTTGTATATTAAATTACCATATCAACCTTAACACATTTGCTTAATCATATTTTCATGTGTGTCTCAATCTCGAAATGTCCAGGCTGCACCTCTCGGGCCCTTGTTATTACCCGGCCGTATTGGCAACACTGTTGATTGTTTAACCTTGATAATCATTGTTTCTTATAGTGTGTGTTGAGTGGCATCAGGTAAGTTTTATTATTTTTACATTAAATCTAGTTTTTTTGTAAAAATTAAAGAATAGTCCTTTTGCGCAATTTTTCTAATGTCCCGTCTGCATAGTGCTTGGTGTTACGATATAAGCATTATTTCGAAGTTTATATTTTTAGAAAAATATTATATTGTATCGGTAATACATAACCTCAATATATATTTTTTATTATGAACCGTTTATAAAATAACGAGTAAGAAGTAGAAAAATGTCCCGTCCGCACCGTCTTTTCCGCACCTATATAATAGGGTGCGGACCGGACAATCGCGGTGCTGACCGGACAATATTCTATAATTGCTTTTGTATTATTGTTACAAACTAGTACTTAGCTGTTTTTTTATATTTAGAAAAATGAACAAAACAGAGAAGGAAGAGTTTATAAAAAAGTTGAGAAAAGATAAAGAAAACGCTTACCTGCGCAATTTAGAAAAGTGGGAGGAAAAGAAAAAAATTAGAGTCATATCAAACGTCACATTAAGAAAGTCTAACAAAAAAACAGAACAAGGACCAAGCCAAAATACTGATGATTCTAGAAATACTCAAAAATCAGGCAATTCTTTAAACGATAATAATGAGTTAAAAACCAATGACATTAATCAAAATATGAAAATACTTGAGTATAAAACACCAGATAGTTTACCAAAGATTAAACTTGTAACCGAAAATGTTAATTTGAGAAAACCAAAAACAAAACTTATTAAAAAACAAAAGTCCAAAAATAAGGCTGTTTTTACCTCTAAACCTAATTATAACACAGAAAAATCACGGCTACGTAGAGCTAGATTAACTCAAGAAGAAAAAGCTGTCATAAGGGAAAAAGACAAGATACGAAAACGAGAGTGTAGAGCTAACAAAACTATTTTAAAGATCAGCGATATGTCTAAGAAACAAAAGAAAATACAAAGAAGAAAATGGAGAGAAACGAAGAAAGAGTATAGAAGAAAGAAAAAATCTTTAAATTCAGTAATAAACACAACTCCCCCCAATTCGGACTCAGAAAATAGTTTAGCAGAAATGGACGAAAACCTAGAAACTCCAGATATTGATTTGATTACTAGCAATACAAATAAAGAGGAGATAGAAATCCAAACTTCAGAAAACCATAAACAACCACCATTCAGTACACTTAATACTTCAGTTTCTACGCGAAGTAATTCATTATGTACGCCAAGTACATCGTTTTCTACACCATGTGCATTTCAAAAGACTGATTCGGAAAGTACTAATGATACACCAAAAATTAAAATGTCTTATCAGAAAATTAATGCACGAAAGCACAAGCATAACAAACTTAGAGATTTGTATAGAGAGATAGAAAGAATGAAACATACATTGGCTGAAAGGCAGAAACAAATAGAAGATTTAAAAAGAGAGAAACTTAAATACAAAAAGCGATTAGAAAGACAAGAGAAAAAAAAATTGCCCAATAATATTATTACTCAAAATCGTACACTAGAGAACGCACAGGATGGTACAGAGAAAAATCAGGCCTCTACACTAGAATCTCCCAATACAAAAATTATTACTTTTTTAAATGGGCGGATCATACCTGGCGACGTAAAAAGAGAATTGGTTTTTGGGGCGGCTTTAAAAGAGCAAATTGTGACAAATTTTACTAAAATAGAACCTTCTAATAAGAAAAACAAACAAATTGCTCGGCAATTATTAAGTGGCAATATATTAAAAAAATATAAACTACACAACAAAATAAATAGGATTTTGCCCTACAGAGAAAACAGAAACCTCATTAAAAGTACAAAAGACCTTAAACTCAAACGAAAGAATAGATCAAATGCTATTCACCAAGAAACAAAAAACAAGATCAGATTATTTTTTGAAAGTGATCGTATATCAAAAATGTGTCCAGGAAAGGCGAATTTTATAACAAAAAAAAAAGTAAAAAAACAGAAACGTTTGCTTCTGTTTAGTCTAGCCTCATGTTTTAAAAAATTTAAATTCGAATTTCCTAATATTCTCATTGGTTTTACAACTTTTTATCATAATAAGCCATTTTGGGTGGTTCAACCTAAAACCAAAGATAGGGAAACGTGTGCTTGTGTGAAGCATGAAAATTTTAAGTATATTGTAGCCAAGTTATTTTTTGAAAAAGTCACAAATCATCAAAATTTAGAAGAGATTGCAAAAGGTAATTATAAGCTAGTTTTACACAAAGAAAATGAGTCTGATACTATAAATTTGTTTCAATGGAAGTCGCAACAACAAGAAAGGAAAATTGGGGTACTTACTAAGTTAATACGAACAACCAGTAAAAAGTCACTAATAATAACGAAACTTGAATTGATGGAGCTATTTTTAAAGGAACTGCCGAGTTTTAAACTTCATTCTGATACAATGAATCATCAAATGGAATTTATGGAAAAAGTTAAATCTGGTTTAGTTCCCTCAGAAATGGCGATCCAGATTGATTTTGCAGAAAATTACTATGCAAAACTAGAAACAGAAATCCAAAGTATGCACTTCGGTGCAAGTAAAAGACAAATATCGATACACACCGGAGTAGCCTATTTTAAAAATCATTTTGACGAAAATAAGACAATTTCTTTTGCTACCTTATCAGATAACATTGATCACCAAGCTCCTGCAATTTGGTGTCATATGAAGCCTGTTCTTTCTATTTTGGCAGAAAATATTAAAAGTACATCCATTAAAAAAATTTACATGTTTTCGGACGGCCCGACATCACAGTATAAAAATAAGTTCAATATTTATCTGGCGGCTAATAATTTGCAAAAACAATTTCCAAACGCAGACGTTTCTTGGAATTACAGCGCTTCTGGGCATGGTAAAGGTCCGATGGACGGCATTGGGGGAACAATAAAACGCTTGGCAGATAGAACAGTATTGAGAGGAAACGACATAACATGCGCAGGAGATTTTATTAATTTAGTAAGACCTGAATGCAAAAAAACATATCTATTTGAAGTATCTAGTGAAAACATTCAAACTGAGAAAGAAAACTCCCTGCAGAATAAGTTTTCACCAATAAAAAAAATAACACAAGCTCACCAAATTACATGGGGAAAAGTCACTAACAAAGTGTCGATTTACACAAGATCATTAAGCTGTTACATTTGTCCTTTTGATGAAGAATGTAGCCATTTTTTTATTGACAAACAACCGAAGCCCGGACATGTTGACAGTGGAACTAATGCAACACCTACATCATCAAGCCGTATCCTTTTTTTATTTTTATAAATACAATTTATTTTCGAAAGCGCATTAGGTATTTCCTTAGCAAAAATATGTATTTAGAAATCGATAGAACCATTCCAAATGAGGTGGAAAATCCAAGTATTCCAGTAGTCGGAACATGGGTTGCGGTTGTTTACGGAGACTCTTGGTATCCAGGTAGGATTTTTGGTGATCTTTAAAGACGATATCAAACATTTTCTTGGGTTTTAGGGATGGTTTCAGCTATTAATGAAAATATCCTCGAAGTGAAATATTTACAACGTCAAGGAAAAAGTTATAAATGGCCTACGCGACCGGACATTCAAAATGTAGATTTTAAAGATATCCTGTATATTTTAACTCGTCCACCTAAAAGCGTTTCAAAAACAAGAACCGATTTATTTTCTATACCCGAGGAAGCTATAATCGATGACCTTTTAAATAAGTCCGAAGACGATTAATATTGTAATATTAAAAATATAAATGTTTAATGTCCGTTTAAATTAATTTTATTTAATTGTTTGCTTAATGTAGCTCAATTTGTCCAGTCCGCACAAAGAAAGTCAAGTCCGCATCCATTTTTGTATAGCGTGTTGCAATAGAAATCCTGTGCAATTAAAAAAAAATAGACGTTACTTAATAAATATGACCTAGTTTCATCTGCTATGGAACAGTTTTTTATTTTTAGGTTATTCTTTAATTTAACAAACTAAGTATAAAAATATTTGTTCCATTTTTCCTCGTAAAAAGTTTCTTAATTTAGTAAATATATACCTTTCAGTAAACAATTTTGTTTCTGAGTTATTTTTAATAACAAAATCATATCCCTTAAAAAGATCTGAAACAAACACCTCTATTAAAATGTCACTTAATTAACCAACATGTAGGTGCGGACCGGACAAATTATTTGTAGTTCTTCTTGATTATGGCTACTTGAATTTTTTTAGTAAAATAAAGTTGTGAATTTCAGTTTATTTTCATGTTGCGGATTGTATTTAGAACCCAAAAAAAAATAAAAGCATTGGATTTGAACATATTGATTTTTTATTGGTATTATTTTCCGTTTTGTACAAACAAAAAAAATATCGTCTTATCGTACCCACGAGATCTGCATGACAAACATAAAGATTTTCCATTTGCTGCTGAACACTGCGTTCCACCGGGATCAAAATTACCAAAATTACTTACAACCCTTACGGATAAAAAACAATACACAGTTCACTATAGAAATTTAAAACAAATGTTGGCTAATGGATTAATTATAACTAAGATTCATAAAATTTTGAAATTTAATCAATCTGCTTGGTTGAAGCCCTACATCGAGCTAAATACTCGATTAAGGGCAGCAGCCAAGAATGATTTTGAGAAAAACCTCTATAAGCTAATGAACAACGCAGTGTTTGGCAAGACAATGGAAAATATTCGCAAGCACCGTATAGTTAAGCTAGTTAAATCATGGCAGGGACGTTATGGAGCCAAAAATTTGATCTCAAGTTTTCGGTTCCATAGTCGTACAATCTTAGGGGAAAATTTGATGGCTATCGAACTAACAAAGTCTGAAATAGTATTTAATAAACCTCTGTATGTAGGACAGGCAATTCTAGACTTGTCTAAGACCGTCATGTACAATTTTCATTATAATTACATGCTACCGAAAATGGGCGTAAGTAATTGCAAATTAATGTACATGGACACAGACAGTTTTGTCTATGAATTGCTCTGTGATAATGTATACGAGGACGTAATAAAAGCAGATTTAGCAGAATTTGATACGTCTGATTATAGCGAAGATAACATCTATAATATTCCTAGAGTTAATAAAAAAGTTTTGGAATTAATGAAAGACGAAAATAATGGGAAAATTATGACTCACTTTGTAGGACTTCGCTCCAAAATGTATAGTTATAAAGTGCAGGGTGGTAAAGTGGTTAAGAAATCGAAAGGGATTAAATATAACATAGTTAAACATAAAATTACCTTCGAAGATTACGTTAGGTGTTTAAAAGAAAATCAGGAAAAAACAACTACACAACGTTGTATTAGATCATTTGCGCATAATGTGTATAGTATCGAACAATCGAAAATTGGTCTAAGTCCTCATGACGATAAACGCTATTTGATTCCAAATAGTTTTGACACACTTCCCTGGGGCCATTATAGTATCTCTAAAGAATAAAACATTTTTCAAATGCACTACATACACCTCCTACAAATTCTGGATGTAATTTGTCAAAAACACTGGCTAATAAAAATATTTAAAAAAAAATCGCTTCATATCCTTTTTTCGTATGTAATTTACTTTTGTTTTTTTCTGTATAGATATATTGTCATATATTTAAATTTTTTCTATAGATTTTAAGATATTTTTGTATAGAATCGTTTTAATTCTATTGTAACACACATTGTATATTTTTTTTATTTTTGTAGTTTTTGAGGTACAACGTAATCTCAAATACTTTATTTTTATTTTATTTTAAAAACAATAAAAATATTTCTCTATTTTTGACTTTTATTTTTGAGTGGGTAAAAAAAAAGCAGAAATCTTTAGTATTATTATTTTATTCATAAAAAGAAATAATTTTTGCTAACATAGTTTTCAATTGATTCAATATGCTATCATCAGGACATGGTACTCCAAACAGATTCCAGCTAAAGGTTCCTGCTTCTACAACTTTTCTTGTATATTCACTGTATTTATAGTAGGTATTTTGATAGAAAAAGTATATATGTCCATCTATATATCTAAATGCAGAAGTTAGATCTCCAGGAATTCCAGGAAACAGATCTCTTGTTCTTCCGCGATTAAGTATTTCTCCAGTTTCATTAAATTCAATGTATATATCATTGTTGTACAACAGGTACATCCGCCCGCTGTTTGTTTGAAATAGAGCATTAATAACTTTAATATTTTTAATTGGTAGATTAAAACTATGTTGAATGTTTAAATTAGGAAACCTCACTACGTACACCATTTGTTTACTGATTGTAACCAAGTCTCCAACAGAGTTTTGAAAGATATGTGAAATGTTGTGAGATTTGAGCTCTCTAGGAAGGTAATCGGCAATGAGTTCTGATGTGAGTGGAATATGCATATCATTTAACTCTAATTTCCACAAAAAACTTTCGTGGCCTACATACATTCGATAACTAGGAAAGCTTTCTGCCGTTGCTAAAAACATGAAGTTAGGTATTTTAATATTACATAAATTTGTAGACGATTTTTGCGATGGAATGTTGGGCAATATATTTGACTCAGTTGTAGTTGTGGTGGTAGTCGGTTTTTTAGTTGTGGCGGTAGTAGAGGCGGTAGCAGTTTTTGTAGCGGTTTCAGTCATCATTTTCAAAATATTTGGAGGAATTTTACCAAATTTTTGACGACTTCCATACAAGGATTCCATACCTATTACATCATCTTCATCGAGTGGCCTATTTTCTTCTTGATACCAAGGATACATAATTGCATTTTTATTACTACTATGCCCTAAACCAAGTGCATGTCCAATTTCATGAACAAGCACCATAAATAAGTTGTATTGTTCTTCAGGTGTTTTTCCATCTCCTATATACCACGGTTCTTCTTCATCAATATGAATCTCGATGCATGTGTCATTACTAGGAAAATACGAGTGAGCGAGTTTTCCTCCTGGACCATCAAACTTAAATGTACATTCATGATTTCCTTGACAATTAAAGCGAGTGTTATGATTCCTTTTTGTAACGAAAATCGCAATATCTGCGCTTGGATTAGGTATGCGAACATTTTCAAATGTTAGAGTAGTATTCTGCGCCCATATATCAAAAGCCTTCTTAGCTATTTCAAAATACCTTGTATGCCGTCCCGCTTGTGGAAAGTACCACTTTAAATGTTTTTTGTTCCATTTGGAATGTACAGTAAAAGAATTATCGCCCTGAGTACATCTAGGTCTATTTATTAAACGAACGGTTTCTTTGTTTAATTTTCCATCGACCGGCAGATTATTGATTTCTTGAAAATCTATCAATGCACTAGTAATATCAGTAAGACCATTTTCACTTTTATTTATGTAACCGAAATTTTGTAAATATGTCAAAGCATCATCTTGAGTTATAGCAGCAGCAGCAGCAGCGCAGCAATAAAGAATAAAGAAAGCACGTCTGTATTCTTAAACATTTTGAATGATAATGAATATATCTAAATAAAAGAAAACTAGTTTTCAAAAATCATTTATTTAAATCATTAATTATAGAAATTTTATAAAAATAAATGTACTCTCTAAGAGCGTGGTTTAACAAATCGTTTGGAAGTATTTCACACATTGAAAATAACAATTGTACAGAGTCATCATGTGTTTTACAAAAATCGATAATATTATTATAATATAAGCAGAAATTAAGTTCTTCTAATAAAGCCACTCTATTGGACACCAATTGTTTGTTAATTTCAAGAATTTCCTGCACTTCCTCTTTACACAAATAGTATTCAACGCCATGTTTCTTCACAACCAAGAATTTGATGTCGTCATAAACCAGTTGCGTAATCATACAATAATCGCCACATGAAAATGTTATAGGGTCATACTCGTCTGGATAATATGTAGGCAAGTCTTCCTCGAAAAAATCATCCATCTTTTGTCTGAGAATATCGACAAAAACAACCCATTCGAAAGTTCCAAAAGATATTTTAGTAGACCTAAAGTGTTGAGCCAAAATGATTGCTGGAGTAAACGATCTCGCTGGACTTATACCGCATCGAATGTCGTATCCTGATAACATATATGAGGTTTGAAGTAGGTAATGCATCTCACGTTTTGCAGCATCTTCATAGGATTGTACAATTTTGTCAAGTTCTGCAGAAGGTTTTAGCTTTTCGAAAAATTGATCGAATTCAGCATCAATATCATCCATAATATCACTATCGCTATCACTCTCGACTAATACTTCAATACCACTGTCTTGACTGCACATTTTTACTGATCGACTGCAAACAACTGAGAACGTCAAGCTTGATTTCTGCAATTTATACTTTTGCTCTCCCCACTTTTACCTCCTATTCATAGTCTCCCACTTTTACATTCGGTAGATTGTACAAAAAGGCCCGTGACTTGCAGAAATTTGTTCGTGTTTTCCATAAGATCCTATACAAAATCATCGTTTTTGATCCAACTGTTACCTTTTAGCCCCAACCATTTAACGTACATTTTATTTCCTTTGCGTTTAAGAATCTTCTCCACCAAGTAGATATCAGGATTTGCGGTTTGCTGTAATTCTTCTTCGTAGAATGCGCCTTTGATTGGTGCACCCTCCATGTCCTCGAGAAGATACGTAGCGGGATTGGTTATCTTACATTTTGCAACTTTAAATAATTCTGTAGTCCAATTGGGCGTATAGCCTTTTTCAAAAACGTGTTTCGCTTTACTAATGCGTACAATGTCGCCGACTTTAAGTTTTCTAGGCCCTGCAATTTTCAAGTGAGAATATTTTTGTTTCAAAATATATTTTTCGTTTGTCTTGTTTACCTGCGCAGGCTTACATCCAATCGTTCTATGTTTCGTTTCATTATATTCTTTTGTTAGGTTAGGTAAGGCATCAAGCCACTTGTATGTTCCAACTAAACTAAAGTATTTATATAATTTCGATTTTAAAGTTCTTATTGCTCTTTCGGCAATTGCAGCTTTGACAACACTGTATGAATTATAATGATTAATGTTGTATTTTTTCATTAAATT